CCGAGCATGCCTGTGACCCCCGCCCCGTATTGTCTGGGTGACTGAGTCTCTATGGAGGCAGGGGGTCTCCACTCCAGCTCCTTGCTGTTATGGCCCCATTGCTCAGTCCCTTCTGCTGTAACTTACTGTGTCACCTCTTACTGTGGCAGGAAGCAGAAATATTTCTACCATGGTCGCCTGGATTGGGACGAGAACACCTCTGCAGGCCGCTATGTCCGGGAGAACTGCAAACCACTGCGGGTAAGGCTCCCAGCTGGGGCACCCCTCCCTTCCCACGGGAACTCTTAATGCCTGCCCCAGCTCCTGAGAATTTGGACTCTGTGTAGCCAGCAGGGCTGTGAACGTGGCCTGCTGGGAACCACTGAAAGGCTCTGTCCACATGGCTGAGTTAGAGATTAAGACTGGAAATGGAAAAGGCAGTGATGGGAGCTTAGTCAGAAGACTGGGAAGGGGGGTTGGGAGCTGAGAAGTCCTGGGGGGGAGGTGCCCGCAAAGGAGAAATGAGAACTGGACAACACGTGCTCATTAGAATTCTCCACAACTTTGGGGCCTTCTAGGTCCCAAGCCCTAACTGGGCTCTTTGCTCCGGAAGCATGTTGGGAGCTCCCAGTTGTGCTGCAGTGAGAGTGGCGGGCCATGCTGTGTCTTTCCCCCTGACTTCTCCCCCTCATCTTCCCAGAGATACCTGACCTCTGAGGCTGAGGACCACCACCATCTCTTCGACCTCATCGAGAGCATGCTGGAGTATGAGCCGTCAAAGCGCATCACTCTGGCCGAGGCCCTCAAACACCCATTCTTCGACATGCTGAAAACAGAGCCAAGCACAAAAGTGTGGGACTCTAGCCGAGACATCAGCCGGTGACGCTGCTGGTGCCCAGTCTGTCCTCAGATTGTAGCCCCCGTGGAGGCCTATGTGATTTCTATGTGGACACTTGGTGCTTTTTTTATACAAAAAAAAAAAACCCAAACAAAACCCCCTGAATCCTTTTGTTACTATGTAAAACTGTTAATATGTGAGATATTGTAAATACCCGAATCTATATCTGCCTTTGAGCTCCATGGACCCAAGCCCCTGCTGCTGCCATTACTCCTAGGGGAGGGGGCCTCTTACGGTCCATGCTGTGAATACCTCTGTTCATGTGTTGCATTGACTCCTCTTCTCTCCTCCTGCCCTCCCCAGGGCTCCCGGCTGTCTGTAGCTCATCCATATCTTTGTAAGTTATGAAGCTGGTGGGGTTGCATGGGAATTATTTTTTGGATCAATGTCATAGCCCATCCCCGCACCAGAGTTTTATATGAATTTTGTACAGTCTTTGTGAAAATAAATATGAAGTCAATTAAACTTCCTGGCCTTCCTCCCCGTCTGCGTCCAGACTAGTGGGGGCCCATCTTGGCATTTTCCGGTGCCCTGGGATTGAGGCACTGTTCCCCTTCCCAGAAGATGGGGTATGTGGTGCATGTGACATTAGCCTCAATAAGAACTTTAACCCCCAGATCTTTGCTAATTCCCTGGAAATGGAGGTTCAGCTTCTGTCTTGTATTGGGTAGTAAATGTTCTGTTGGGAACCACCAACAGAACAAGAAAAGATGTTGTGCATCAGCTGCACTCTGCTTCTGCAGAGGATGGAAGGGAGTCGTTTGTCCCAGCAAGAAGATACTTGAGGAGACAGGATCCCTGTATTGGTTTCTGCTCTGCTCGACCCACCTCCAGCTGTAAAACTCATTCCAATCTTGAATGCTTGTCTGGTGCCCAAAAACGCACCTGCCAAGGGTTGCGCTAGGTGTGAGGGTTGCAGCTGGATCTGAGCTATAAGCCCTGATGCCTCAATCCTGTTCCAGAGGTACTGCAGTGTGACTCTGATTCGATTAGAGGGTGGAGACCGGGCTGGGGACAGGGACAGCTCTGCAGTTTTGCAGCCAGAACTGCTTCCTGAGGGTGAGCCATTCCGAGCAGTGGGGCCATCTCCACTTCAGCAGGGCTCCTGGTCCAGCCTGGCTTGTTGGCTGCAAGAGGATTGGAGAGGTCAGTTGCTGTTCCAGGGGACAGCAGAGGCATGTGCTGGTTCCTCTTTGGAAAAGCCGCATCATTTCAGGATTAGTGTTTTGTGGTTGGAAGGTGCTAAATATGAAATGCGGCCAGCTCTGGTGTGGGTTTGGCAGCCAGTTCCTTCTAAGACAAAAAAACAATTTAAGCCCAGATTGCTGTGACAAATCCAGATTTTTAAAGAGTCCCAGACTCATTAATGTCTGCACTGAGTGAGTCTGAGTGTTTGAGATCTCGCCAGAGCGTGTCACTCGCCCACAGGATGTATTGGTACTGACTGTATTAGTGATGGCTGTCAGGAAAACTGTCTAGGTGCACTGTAGCTATCCCTTTGCAGGCGGCCATCCCAACAAGAGCTTTCCTTACCCAAACTCACAGCATAGCCACCTGTTCTGCTGCTGAGCTGTTCTCTCTGTTCCTCTCTGCTCTTTTACCAGCTGCACAGCAGGAGTTGTCGTCTGAACTGGGCTATCTCCCACTGGAGCCTGCGGGGAAGTCACAAACATAGTGGAATCTTCATGTTAGTTCTTGGTTAAATGCTTGGCAGGGAGTCTCATGAGGGGTTGGGGGGGAGAGACAGAACAGATGCATGAGGAGTCCTCACGTAGGGTGCTTTGCTAATGCACCATCTGGCTACGACAGACTGTGCCCTAGCCTAGCAGCCTGTCATCACTCAGAAGGATAAAGGAAAAGCTCAGCTTCACCTGGAGTTAGTGAGAGTTGAGACTTGGGTGAGGGATGGGGTGACATTGAGTCATCTTCGTGTCCTGATTCCAATTTAAGGAGCTTGGGCTGGGAGCATTAATCTGCCTCCAACAGTGCTGCTCAACCAGCAGCTTATCACATTGCAGTGACACAGTGAGCATCCAGAATTGAGCACAGGAAAGCCTGACACCACGGTGCCGGCTGTCAGTGTCCAGCTGAGGGCAAGCAGTACCTGGATCTGAGTGAGTAACCTGTCCCCTGTACCAGCTTAGGTCCGGGAGAGAATCCCCATTTCCAGCCTGACCACCTGCCCTCAGCCTCCTGGGTAGCAACACCGCTAACTCCCTTTGCAGCTTGAGAGAGACCAGAGTTCTGCCCTGGACATTATGCACTGAGCTACCGAGCCCTGTGCTATCAATCTGGCAACCTGGAGATTGGGTGGGGAATGGCTGCATTTGGGCCACACGTTCCTTACAGCTCCTCTCTCTTGCTCTCCAAGAGGATGGATAATAATCTGTGGCCACGAGGCAGGTGCAACTGCTGCCCAGGTACTGAATTCCTGGGCCTGTGTCTGGCTCGGCATGCATGCCCTTTGTGCCCCATACGGCTGGCTCCCAGGATGCTGAGCAATCCCCTTGGCATATCAGGGCAGTCTAGTCACTCCACTTGCTGCTGTGTGTCTCCAGATGATGTCTGAATGGGAAATGTTAGTGGGTCCCTTGTGTCCTGTATCCTGACTTGAGCTGGCCAGGAGGTTCAAAGCCACTGGAATTTGCCTGTCTGTCTGTCTGTCATGCCAGGCATTCCTCCCAGGCCAGCTTGGAACTGGGACATCCCTACAAATAGCACCTCCCCATGCCCTACATGGATTCATAGATTCCCCAAGGCCAGAAGGAACCAATGTGATCATCTAGTCTAACCTGTATAACACAGGCCGGAGAAATGCCCTCTAATTCCTAGAGCAGATATTTAAAAAAAACATGCAATCTTGATTTAAAAATTCAGTGATGGAGAATCTATCGTGACTCTTGGTAAATTGTTCCAATGGTTAATTACCCTCACTGTCAAACATTTATGCCTCGTTTCCAGTCTGAATTTGTCTAGCTTCTACTTCCAGCCATTGGATCGTGTTAGACCTTTCTCAGCAAGACTGAAGAACCCATTATCAAATATTTGTTCCCCTGTAGATAGAGACTGTAATCAAGTTGCCCCTTAACTTTCTCTTTTTTAGGCTAAATAGAATGAGCTCTTTAAGTCTATCACTGTCATGTTTTCTAATCCTTATTCTTATGGTTCTTTTCTGAGCCCTCTCCTATTTATCAACATCCTTCTTGAATCGTGGGCACCAGAACTGAACACAGTATTCCATCAGCAGTTGCACCAGTGCCAAAGAGAGGTAAAATAATCTCTCTATTCCTACGCGAGAGGCCTCTGTTTATGTATCCCAGTTTTGCATTAGGTCTTTTGGCCATGGTGTCACATTAGGCTTTCAACTTCAACTAATTATCCCCCAGAACCTCCATGTTTTTTCAGAGTCACTGCTTAGAGTTCTCCATCCTGTAAGTATAGCCTAAGTTTTTTACTAGACATAGACATTTACATTTAGCCGTATTAAAACGCATATTGTTTGCACCCAGTTTACCAAGCAATCCAGATGGCTCTGAATCAGTGTCCTGTCCTCTTCATTATTTACCATGCCCCCAATTTTTGTGTCATGTGAAAACTCTGATGATTCTGTGTTTTCTTTCAGGTCATTGATAAAAATGTTAAATAATATAGGCCCAAGAACGAATCTCTGCAGGACCCCACTGTAAATTCATTCGCTTGATGATGATTCCTTATTTACAATTACATTTTGAGACCTATCAGGTTTTTTAAGCCATTTAATGTGTGCCATGTAAATTTTATATCATTCTAGTTCAGGGGTCGGCAACCTTTCAGAATTGGGGTGCCGAGTCTTCATTTATTCACTCTAATTTAAGGTTTTGCGTGCCAGTAATACATTTTAACGTTTTTAGAAGGTCTCTTGCTGTAAGTCTATAATATATAACTAAACTATTGTTGTATGTAAAGTAAATAAGATTTTAAAAATGTTTAAGAAGCTTCACTTAAAATTAAATTAAAATGCAGAGCCCCTCGGACCGGTGGCCAGGACCCGGGCAGTGTGAGTGCCACTGAAAATAAGCTTGTGTGCCGCCTTACCCAGTAAGAACTTACCCAGTACTCCAAGACTTATTGAAAATCAGCATTAATGGTCTAGTGAGCTCCTCAGCCAGCTCTTTTAAAACTCTTGGATGCAAGTTACTTTTAAATCAGCAGATCCAGATATCTAACTCTAGAAGCTTCTGCTTAAAATCCTCCAGACATACTATTGGAACAGAAAGTATGTTATCACCATATGATGAGACTATCATCTGGTTTTCCGCCAAACACAGAACAGAAATATTTATTGAACATTTCTGCCTTTTCTGCATTATTATTAATACTTCCATTTCAGTCTAATAATGGATCAATACCATTGTCAGGATTCATTTTGTTACTTATATATTTTGTTAAAAATCCTTATTATCCTTAACTCTGTTGGCCATACATTTCTCCTTGTGTCCCTTTGTTTCCCTTATCCATTTTCTACAATATCATACTTCTGATTTATATTAATTACTATCAATTTTGCCTTTCTTCCATTTGTTTTATATATACACACATATTTATACCTGCCTTCACTTTCCCTGTAAACCAGGCTGTTTTTTTACCCAGCACTGCCTTCTTCCTCAATTGTTGGATTGTGGCTTTTGGGGCATCTATTACATGTTGTTCTTAAATGATTCCCAATTATCATTCACATTTTCTGAATGCATTCTCTCTTCCAGCTGACTTGGCTCGAAATTGTTTTCAGCTTTGTGAAATCTGCCCTTTTAAAGCACAAAGCAGATATATTACAGGTGAGGACTTTATTTTGCTTGCACAGTATAAATGTGACCAAGTCATGATCACTTGTACCTAAGCTATCATTAATTAATTAGTTCCTCTATTTGTTAGGACAAGGTCTAATAAAGAATTCCTCCATGTTGACTGCAACACTTTTTGAGATAGGAAATTATTGATAATATTTAGAAATTTCAAGCTCGTTTTAATACTGCCAGCATGAGATCTCCAGCATCTTTCACTCAAATTGAAGACCCCCATGATCAGTTGTTTTTTTTTCTACACATCCTAGGTAGGTGCATAAGGAGATGGCCATCCTGTTCTCTGGAATTTGGTGATCTGTGGCTAATACCCAATTTTGTGCTTTATCTGTTAGGACACTGAACCATAAACATTCAAGATAATTTTCTTCTGAGTTACCTGTGAATCAGAAACAGGCAGTGCGGTTTTTGGCATAGAGTGCCATTCTCTCTCTCCTTTTGCCCACTTGATCCTTCCTAAATAGGTTACAACCATTTATTTTAACATTCCAGTCATGCAAATGCAAATCATAAATGACCATTTCCAATGATTTGATTTGTTACCCAGGCGTCTAGCATTGATGTATACATCCACCTCTCCCCAGAAAAGGTGGACCAATGTTTGACAAAACTAAAATCCTCCACTCCATGCTACTTACCTAGCCTGCAATTCACTTCCAGAATCTGCTTTCTGTTTTCCTTTGCTGGTGAGATAGGAACAATCTCAGAGAAAATTGCTTGGATGGTCTTCTTCCTTTTCAGCACGGATGGCCTGTTCCACTATCTGAGGTCTGTCTCTGCACCTTGCACAGCACTGACTGCTGCTGTCCTTACTGCCTTTGCTCCAGCCTCTCTGCTCACCTCTCCTCTCCAACTCGCACCTATGGAATCTGTGGTGAAGTCTGCTTTCAGGGCCCCAGTGAAACAGCTGCAGTGCTGCATCTCTGCTGTCTTTCCCGAGGACAAGGACTGCCAAGCATTAGGAGGCTGCATAAAGGGTCCAGCAGAACAGAACCAGAGGACCCAGCGCAAGAAGTAAGAGCAACTGGCCACCTCACCATGCCCGGCTCAATGAGATGTTCTAGGCCCTCCTTGAATCTGATGGGGTCCCCCCACATATTGAGGGAACCCCTTTAATGACAGGCCTGTCTGTATAGTCATCTTCTGTGCACGATGTTCCTGGGTGACCACAGAGCATAGCCCAGACCCACAGAGGGCTGCGTAGGATGGTCAGTCCATGAGAGAGTGCAGCTCTCTGCCCCAAAGTTTCTCCACCCCAGTGAAACCCATTAAACCAACCACCCTGTTCTGATTGGGAGAAGCAGCTTGCTGACACAGTTCTTTCCAACTCAGGAGCAAACGGGACGTGGTCTATGCTCAGAGAAAGGCTGAGCGTGCAGCCATCAGAACCCACATCAGAGAGAAGTACCAGCTTCCCAAGGTAAGGGGGAGCCAATTCAACAGGCCTGGGGAAGAGGAGACTTAGCTCCTCAGGGAAGCTTAGGGTTAGTCTGATAACTTTGCCTATTGGGTTGCATCTATTGGTCAGGCCCTAGCCCCATATGCTGCTGGGCAGATCCTGCTCCCAGCTCTGGGGCTGTTCACTTGCCCATGGGGTGCAGATAATTGCAAAATGCCCTATTTAATTTAGGAAGAGGAAAAACCTGTTTATATGGTAAGGCTGTGATGCTTCCTTAGGATCAAGTGACTTGTGATCCTGGATGGACAGTTGTGTTGGGGCAGGGCCCAGCTCATGGTAGCAGCTGGGTGGCTCCACGCATGACTCCTCACACTAACATCTTTCTCCTTTCCATTTCCACTTCAGAACAAGGTGGATAAGAAGCAGCTGGAGGTCATTGGGGGGAAGGTAAAAATGCTGCAGGACCATGTGGCTGTGGTGAGGCCTCAGGGCACCCCTGAATCTGACTCCTGCATCTCTGGCCTCAGTGCTATGGATCTCAGCTCCCTGAAAAAAACAACAGAGAGCACAATGCAGTCCCTGCGGCTGGGGCTGCGCTGTCTTATCATGTGAACAAACCAGCAGCAGGGGCACAGTAGCCCAGTTTCTCTACTCAGTCCAGACTCTGCTGTGCTCCCTGCCTTGTGTCTGTAAGAATGGCTGTTCTCACCCTCTTGGGGTAACTATAGGTTAGTGGGGTTCAGTTGGGAGTTGGGCTGCTTCTCTGATGCAACATCTGCTTCTGTTCCATGAACCATCTCTCCTTGGGGGTGTGGGAATCCATCCTCCAGTTTAACCACAGTATCTTTTTGGAATGAGAAGTGTGGAAGTGGGATCACCCTGGAAGCTGCAGGGTGACCTTTACTCTCTTATGTCTCACTCCTGGTAAAGCCCTGAACCTCTCACTGCTTTGGCTTCCCTGAAAGGATTCACGAGCTTGTGCCAAGCATGGTGAATTATAAGATACAGCACTTTGTGTTTGGACACACTTGTGAGCAGGGATTCTTGGGGGGGTATTCAGGTCACTTGCATCAGGGCCTGAACATTCTGTAGCCCCTTTGTAATGATGTAAGATTTTAGAGATTGCAGGCCCGGGAGTTGTGGTGGCTTTCACGATGGAAGGCAAATCACTAAGTCACAGTGATTAATGACTCAGAGTCCAATGCCCTGGTATGCTCACAGAGAAGGGCCTGTGGGAACCACCCATCCTGTGACAGCCAGGAACGGGCTAAAGGCCTAGGACCAGTCCTGCCCTCAGTCTGTCAGCCACTGAGAGTTTATTCTGATGTAATGTTCCTTGCTCTCCCGCTGGTGTAAATTTCTCTGGACCAGGATTTGCGGCTCCTGCACTCTGAATTAAACACAATTGCATCCTCTTTGCAAATCAAGCGTCGATTTCCTGGCTCCCTCTTAAAAATGTGACTCAGCCTGTGGCACCAAGGGGCCCGGCAGCCCTGGCCCAGGCGGGACCAAGCCCTTCACAGGCCCCCTCCGGTAACGGTGGGTCTGAGCTGGCCAGGCGCTGACTGGGCCTGGACCTGGGCCTGCAGCTGCCCCCGCCCTGCTCAGCGCCGGCCGCGCTAGGGTGGGGGGCAGGCAGGCCTCGCTCACTGAAGGGGAAGGAAGACAAAATGGCACCTGCTGCCTGACCTCCCCTTCTGTTGGGTGTGTCACACTGGAAACTACAGCTCCCAGCATGCATTGCGGACAAGGCGGTGCCCATATGTCCCAGCAGGCCCAAGGACCCAGAGACTACGGCGCCCCGGAGACATTCCCGTCAGGCAGTGCGAGCTCAAGGGCTGGAGAAACTCCACATCCCAGCATGCAGCGCGGCTACTACTCATGCGCACACGCAGCCGCCGCGCGTGATTATGCCTCACGGCCCTCCGGTGCGGAGTTCCCGCCCCGCAACGTGAGCAGCGCTGATGACGTACGTGGCGCGGTAGCCAATAAGCGTCGTCCAGGCAGGGGAGCGGACGCAGCGGAGTCGGTCGCTGAGGCTGGGGTCGCGCGGCCGGAGCCCGGCATGGCCCAGAACGGGGCGAACCCCTTCGGGGAGCCCGACAACCCCTTCCAGGTGCGCGGGGCGGAGACCCCCAGGGCCGCCCCTGGTCTGTAGCGGGGGCGGAGCCGCCAGCTGGGGCGCGGCCCCCGAGCTTTCCTCTGGCAGCGCTTCCTGTCCCAATCTACGTCATCGGGCAGCTGTGTCCGCCCTGGGCCGGGCGCGCCCTGCTCCGCAAACAGGCCTGGGGAGGGGGCCGGCTCCCCGCGGCGCCCCGGCTGCCCGAGCAGGGGCTGGCCCCCGCGGCCGGGTGCTCCATGGTGGCTTGAGCAGTTCGGTCTGTCCCGCTTCCCCTTGGATTGAGTAAACCTGAGCAGGGCCGGCTGCGAGGGGCCGGGGCCGGGGCGCGCTCTAGGTGCGAGACTGCCCTCCGCGCAGCGAGCGGCATGGTCTGGGGGCGACGTTGTCCGGAGTATGGGGAGTGGGATGGCATCTGTGGGAGCTGGTTGGGTCGCTGCAGGGCCTGGGGGATAGCGGGTGAATGGGAGCACTGGTTGGTCACAGGGACTGCAAATGCATCCTCTGTTTCAGGATCCCGCTGTGATGCAGCACAAGCCCAGCACGGAGTATGCCACGCTGGATGTGTACAACCCCTTCGATAACAGGGGGGTAAGGAAGCTTCTGGGCTCCGAGGGCAGTGCATTGGGGAGGCGCCTGCACCGGCCACAGGGTTCTAGTCCTCTGCATTGGTCTGGCTGTCCGAGGAAATGCTCACTTTCTCCTGGGTTACATCCCAGACACCAGTCTGTGGCCTGTCCCTCTCAGCTGGGGCTTGTTTGGCAACTGGCCAGCTCATGTGGGTTTCCTAGGGACAGGGGGCTCCCTGGGCTCTTGTTTTGGTAGGAGGATAGTGTTGGGTTTCTCACACTTACTGTGAGCTGAGTCTTCCTGCCCCCTACAGCCTCTCATGCTGGGCTGGCTCGCTACATGTGCATGGAGAGGCATCTTGTGTGTGGGTTAACAGCTGATAGAGGGATGGCAGACCCGGTGCCAGCTCATGCCAAGGCCCCTAGCTCTCAAGTGAACACTGACCTGCACAGCTGGAAACCAGTCTGGCTCGCCTGTGTGTTTGTTTTGTTAAAATCTTAAGTTTACAAGAATGTGTTTCGTGTTTAGACTTTGTCATACTTGTAAATTGCTGCAGGTATTAATCTCACTTAGAACATCTGTACCCCATTTTATGAGGTGATATTAAGTATTTGCATTCTCATCCTCTGTAATTGTGTAAGTCATCGAACAGGAAAGGAGCATTAATGAATGTAAAATGGTGGCTTCCTATAGAAGGTGTTAGGTCCTTTCCCTCCAAGAAGGCCCACTGAAACGTAAAAGAACAAATACTTTAATTGCATTCCACACATGAAGAGGAGACTTGCATGGGAACTCATCCCATCACCTTGAACTCTTGGGGGAAGTACATAAAAATCCCTAACAAGAAACTCTTTCATTATGCTGCTTGGACTTTGAGAGGGCAAGGAATCCCCAGCTACTTAGCCCGGGTTGACCCTAAAAAACACACTGCTTGCATATTACAGAAGCTTCTACCACCTCTTGGAACCTAAGACCCTAACTCATTTGGGGGGGTGTTTACCTGCTTTAACCTTGTAAATAACTCTCATTTTTATTTTTAACTAATAAATCTTTAGTTAATTATAGGACTGGCTACAAGTGTCTTTAGCGTGAGATCTGAAGTACAGTTGAGCTGGGATAAGTGACTGGTCCTTCGGGGCTGGGAGTAACCTGAATATTGTTGTGATTTTTGGTGTAAGGGACCATCTGTCAAAGGCAGGCTTGCCTAGGTGGCAAGATAGAGGGAGCAGAGTGCTCAAAGGGACTTTCTGTGACTCCATGGTCAGGCTGTTACAGTGCCTGAGGAGTTAACACTTGGGTGATGAAATCTAAGTGTAGAACTGACACCCAGTTTGGGGTTTGTGCCCTGCTTCTTAACAATCTGCCATGAGGTTGGTGCTCATGCGCCACTCCAGGAAGCCTGACACCAACTCTGGGTATTTGAATGTCAGCAGCTCCCATCTTACACACTCCGGGCCTGTACCATCTCTTCCCCTGCTCCCTGCCTGTTGCCTCCTAGATATAAGCAGAAGACTGTGAGCAGTGTCCATGTCTAATTATTCTTTTATGTCTCCAATAGCCACCCCCTCCCTACCAGCCCCAGCCAGGGGCTCAGCCGACTCCACCAGTCACCAAAGTGCCCCAGCCGCCGGCTTCTGCCATGCAGCCCCCCAAGAAGCCAAGTCCCCCAGAGTCCAAAAACTACGGCTCCTATGGAACTCAGGTGATTGGTGCAGGGCAGGGAAGCCAGCATGCTGGCAGTAGGGTTGGTTGACTCCTGTGCTCTCAGTTGGGGCTGGTGGAATTGAGTCAGTTTGGAGAGGGGTTGGGAGCAGCTGGTTTCTGGGGCCTGTGAGCTGAGTTGTCCCCTCTTCTCTCTCTGTTAGGAGTCGACAGCAGCAGCCGCCGCAGCTGAGCTGCTGAAGCGGCAGGAGGAGCTGAACCGGAAGGCGGAGGAGCTGGACAGGCGGGAGCGGGAGCTGCAGAACGCAGCTTTGGGCAATGCTGCAAGTAAGTGCTAGAGACACTCCCAGGATGGGGTAAGGTCAGCAGCCCAGACTCCCTGGTCCAGTGCAGCTGGGAAATGACCTACCCGGGCAAGGGGAACGTAGCCGTAGCCTTCCCCTCCCCCTCCCCCTGGGAGCTGCTGTGTGGTCCCGCTCTGGCCTCATGCTTTCTGCTTTGCTTGACAGTCAGACAAAACAACTGGCCTCCGCTGCCCTCCTTCTGCCCCATGAAGCCCTGCTTCTACCAGGACATCCCTGTGGAGATCCCCACGGAGTTCCAGAAAACAGTCTCCTCCATGTACTACCTCTGGATGGGTGAGCATCTGGATAAGGGCACCAGGGTGCAGATCCCCAAGTATGCGGGGGCAGAGGAGGAGGTTTGGGGGTGAATATCCCTGTACGTTGTTGGGGGAGGCACAGACTTTGCAATGTTCAGCAGGACAGGGCCTGGGACTGAATACCCTGCATATGGGAGAGGTGCACTCCCACACCCCCCTCAAGAGCAGCAGGAATCCTGACTCCCAGTGCTGGGACCAAAGGGGGTGGATCTTGCTGTTGTGGGCGGGGGTGACACATGGAGGGTTAGGGCTCTGCTGCCCCAGGGGTTTCCTAACCTGCTGTTTCTCTTAGCCAGCACCGTGACTCTCTTCCTGAACTTCTTGGCCTCCCTGGCCTGGTTCTGCGTGGATCCCACAGCTGGTTCGGGCTTTGGCCTCTCTATCCTCTGGGTTCTCCTCTTCACACCCTGCTCCTTCCTGTGTTGGTACAGGCCAATGTACAAAGCCTTCCGGTGCGTCCCTGCTGGGAGTTCTGGGGCTGGCAAATCAATAGAGCCTCTGATTCTTGGGCAGCTCCATTCGTTTACCAGGGTACCACAGAGGTCCTGTAGCCGCAGTGGGTCTGCCTGGCTGTCAGCATTGGTGACACCAGATCTTCCGTGGCTTCTGGGCTGTAGACCCTGCAGCTAAACTCCTATGGGAGAAAGGGATAATGATCTGAGTTTTTACCAGATCTCCATGCTCCCCTAGTAGCACTGGTCCCTGCCCTGGAGGGGGTGACTCAAGTGGCCCTGTATCATGTCTGCCTTGGGGAATTAGGGAGGAGCCTTCCCGCCCCCCCCCCTCCCCAATCCCCCCAGCGAGTCAAGTGCCCAAGTTGTGGGTGACTGAATTGTGTGCTTCCTGGGGGGTAAAGCAACAGGCCTGGCTGTGCCTCCTGGGCCTGGCTGTTGCTTCTCGGGCCTGGCCCTGCTGGAGGAGGGAGGGGAGGGAGATTCTCCCTTGGTAGTGGGGAT